TCATTAGCCATCAGGGAAATTCAAATCAAAACCACATTGAGATACCACCTTGCACCAGTTAGAATGGCAAAATTTGACAAGGCAAGAAACAACAAATGTTGGAGAGGTTGTGGAGAAAGGGGAACGCTCTTACACTGTTGGTGGGAATGCAAGTTGCTACAGCCACTTTGGAAAACAGTGTGGAGTTTCCTCAGAAAATTAAAAATAAAGTTACCCTATGACCCAGCAATTGCACTACTGGGTATTTACCCCGAAGACACAGATGTAGTGAAAAGAAGGGCCGTATGCACCCCAGTGTTCATGGCAGCAATGTCCGCAATAGCCAAACTGTGGAAAGAGCCGAGATGCCCTTTAACAGATGAATGGATAAAGAACATGTGGTCCATATATACAGTGGAATATTACTCAGCCATCAGGAAGGATGAATACCCAACTTTTCATCACCATGGATGGGACTGGAGGAGATTATGCTAAGTGAAATAAGTCAAGCAGAGAAAGTCAAAAAGATGGAAAAACATCTATGCTCAGGACCTGTCCATGAATTTACAGGCTATTTAATTTCTTCTTCACTCTGCAATGCCTATTCAAGTCCTTAGAACTTTCTCCTGTACAATGTTAGTCTTTTCTTGATTCGGGAGTTTTTTATATATTAAATATATTGATCCTTCCCTTGAAAAAAGTTTCACCTGGATTTTCATTTATTTACTAATTTTTAATAGTCTTTTGCTGCTTAGAAAGATTTAAATCATATGCAGTCACTTTAAAACTTTTCCCTAGCTTATGGCTCTATTTTCTCCATAGTTGGTGATATGCCAAGGAGAGAATTGCTTAGGTGACTAACGGTCTCCACCATCTCCCAGAACCACTGGCCCTTCCAAGAGTTCTCTGGGGTTGACAATGCACTTAGGGTAACCAGTGTCCTTCTTCTGCTATAGATACACATTTCTCTATCCTGATTGCAATGCCCCATATCATCAGTGCATCAGTGGGAATTTGGTCAGGAAAACCAAAACCACTTTGAGTATTACAACTCAAAAGCAATTGCATACAGAGCCAGAGAGGCTCACCTGGCCATTGGAAAGACTGGGGCTGTGAAGGTCAGGAAGATCACTATCTGCAGATGAAAAAATATGGAAGTTCAGGACTTGATCTCTGTTGCCTGATGCACCAAAAAGGAATTACTATCAAGGGATGCTTGAGAGCTGCATGAAGAACATCACATCTGTCACCGCTGATGTGCACGCATGCCCGCAACTGCCTCCAGAATGTAATGGCTTCTCCATCTTCTCTTTTCAGACCTCTCATGAGCCTCTCATTCAACCAGAGTCTTACTTGTAAGAATATCTAGGAAATGTACATTCCAGGTTTTCAGCCCTCTGCCATAGAGAGGTGGGCTCAGTAGGACAGAAACTGTGCTGAGTATTTACAGATATTACCTGGGGGTTGTTGTCAGTAAAGATCAGATCAAATCAAATCAAACACATTGTCCTTGCATGGGAGGTTTCTTGAGCACCAGTGTGCAACAGATAGCATGGAGCCTTGTGCTGGGGTATTTGGCATGAAAGAATCTTGTTCAGAAAAGGAAGGTGGGAAATTGGGAAAGTTCACTTCCATAGTCAAGCCCAAGCATATTTCGCTCATTTGAAATTTTATGCAATTATGATATTAGATTTAAAGTCAGAGAACTTATTGAAATAATAAAGCAGAATTTTGAAAAGGTGGTTTGTCCACTTCAAAGATCATGGAATGGATGACACATCGAGATCGAAGCTCATCTCTGTAAATAGAAACCAAGGACAGTGGAAGTCTCTCTTGTAATCCTTGGAATGTGTGTGGAATTAGTGAAGTCCATTCATTTGTATTCTTGGTCCAGAAGAAATTCATTGCTGGGAAATAACCCATAGTTGACACTTTTTTTTTTTTAAGATTTTATTTATTCATTTGAGACACAGAGATAGAGAGACAGAGAGAGAGAAAGCATGAGGAGGGAGAGAGGCAGAGGGAGAAGCAGGCTCCTCGCTGAGCCAGGAGCCCGATGTGGGGCTCGATCCCAGGACCCTGGGATCATGACCTGAGCCGAAGGCAGACGCTTAACCATCTGAGCCACCCAGGCGCCCCTCATAGTTAACACTTTTAATCCAGTTACTACACAGTTCAACCTCAGAACAGCAGAAAAGATGTCTCAGGAGTCACAAAGGCCAAGTCACATCATTTTCTCTAGCAAAACAAGGTCAATTTGTAAGTGGCTTCTGTTTTTTCCCAGAATCCATCTCCTTCCTCCCAGGAACCTGGGAGGGATCTCCTTTAAGGATATTTGAAATTTTGGAGGTGCTGGTCTTTTCATGGCTTTTTAGCAGATTGGAAATTCCAAAGCCACTGTGTTGTACTTTCTTCCTGTAATCAAGCAAAGCCACATCGACAATCTTGAGAGGTGTTACTAATTTCATTGCTGAGTACCAAAAATCACCAATAATAAATAACGTGTGTGTGTGTGTGTGTGTGTGTGTGTGTGTGTGTGTGTGTGGTCCTTTCCAATTCTTGGACTTAGGTTGAGTTTCCAGGTTTCTAAGTAAGAGATATTTGTAAAGGGTTTGGACTTTGAACTATATGGCTACATGATTTCTGTAGTGTACAGCTTCTCAGCTTATAAAGAAAGCACTTTCAGTTTCGTTTATCTCATGTGATCGTTATGACTTTGATCACCTGTGAAAGAGGAAAGGGGGAAGGTATTCTCAGCCTCATTTGATAGAAGAAATCAAAACTCCAAAGATTAAAAGAATTGTCCCCAGTCACTCAATTAATGGTGATAAGATTCTTTGTCTCTGAGTTCTACAATTTTCCAAAGTGCCTATATATAAATAGAAATGTTTATATTTTCAAATGTATGCTATAATCTGTAAGATGCTCTAGTTCTTTGCTAGTTGTGTGCATTTCTGGTAAGGATTTACAGAACTTGTTTTTTAAAAAAAAAAAGCTCAGAAACAACAAAAGCATAAGGTTTTTAAGAAGGAAATTCATGATTTTCTACTAACATGTAAAATGTAAATTTTAGATTAAGATTGAGTATATATAGTTTGTAAAAGTCTGTAATCATATGTAAACCCAATTTAATGTTAATTACATGTATATTTTGGCCTCACTTAATAGGAGTTAGAAGTTCATTTTGTAATGCATTTATTATAGAGTCAAGGAAGAAAAATGAAATGCATACCAAAGGAAACACATACAAATAAAATGCCTTGGTACAAATGTCTTTTGAAATTCATTAGCTATTACTGACGAAGCTCCAGTTAGAACCATGCGGTTAGAACCATGTGGGAAATACGTTGACTGGGAATCAAGAGTGAAAGAAAAGATATCTGCTTTTTATTAAGACCTGAAGTGTGCTATAATTGGGTTGAGTTTCTACCCAGATGGCCCCCCTCATTCTGACATCTGCAAAGTGTATATAAAACTGCGTTGAGGTGTTATTTTCTGTGGCTGTGTAGAAACATGTTACTCAGTTAAAAGCCAAGACCTTGGAGTCCTTCACAATCATTCCTGCTAACTCATGCCAAGAAACTCGTGCTTCTCTGATCAGGGAGATTCCTGTGTGTTTCCCTATTGGAAAAGATTTGGAATTCCTTAGGGCAGTTATAAGTATCTGGTCTTCGATCTTTTATAAATCAATGACAAACGTGTAGATTCAAGACTAGCAGAGTCCCCATCAAGTTTGTAATACAGTTATCTCTGAAAACAAGTTGTAAAAAAAATTGCTTCTTGTAAGTTATGAAATGTCATGTTCAAATATGCATTTTCGTTTGGTATTTTTCTAAATGAAAAATCTTGATTAGAACCTCCCCCTCCATGTATGAAAATTGTTTTTCAAGTATTTTTAATGGACACGTTCATTTTTCACGTTATATCTGGCTGCCACATTTTACAAATTATTAACAATTCCATGTCCTCCTTGTCAGACAACAGAAAGATCAGAGTTAATGGAACCAAGGAACCTATAGAATTTAAATCCAATCAGTGGTTTGGAGCAACAGTGAAAGCTCACAAAGGGGAAGTTGTGGTGAGTATGAATCATGGGGATGCTTTGGAATAATATGTATTCTGAAATGTTTTAAAGCTCATATTTATAAAAATACTTTCATGTAAGGACATGCCAGATTTTTAATGATAAATTTATCAGCGTTCTAAAAATAAACTTGGTGCTTAAAATTAAAGAATCTATTCTAGTGTTCAAAGTTAAAGGAGATAAAGCTTGTTTTCCACATCAGTGAGATATTTTTGAACATTTCAAAACAACTAAGGAAGATAGAAAAATAAAGCTAAATATTAAGGAGGTAAATATTTTATTGCTTAAGATTGATTTAAAGGGCTGATTACAAATTGACCAGAGAAATAGGACTGCCATTTGGATTCTTTAAAAGTTTATCTACTGTGGCATCATTGATCATTTTTAAAGCTAAAGGAAATTTTCCTTTAAAAATATAACTACTAACTATGTGGTTCTCTGAATACATTAATACTTTTTAAAGCAAAAAAAAATCTCACTCCCAAGTAGATATCATTCAGCTTTAAAATGCTATGACTTTATAATTCTATTCTCTTATTGTTTCAAGTAATGATATATGTCTAAGTTATTGAGAAATAAATGACTGTATTAGGCCTATCTGGAAATATTTTTTTGTCGGGAGAATTTTTTAAACCGTTGGCTTTGATTTCCTTACAACAACAAAGCAATAACTTTGCTTTTAGGATTTGTTTAAAGCTGCCTGAATTATAATTTAATAAGAATAAGTATCTAAAGGAAATGCCTTGCTTTATTTGGTCTGTGGTTAACCCCCCCAAGGAGATTTTGACATAAACAGGTAATGTATAAAATACAGATAGCCCTCTCCAGTTACAAATCCAGAATTTACAGTATGGTCTCTATAGGATTGTACTTGCACTAATATGGTTTTCACATTCCAGAATTGGTAAAAAACCTTTTTATCCTTTAGTGGTGTATGATATGTGAATTTCTTTGGAAAGCTAGCTACTTCCATCTAATAACTATTTAGGGTTAAAAAAATCTTTTGGGTACTATATTGATATTTTTAAGTCTTGAAAATTTATCTGTAGTTTACAGATAAATTATACAAGTTATTCAACACTTGTAGAAGCCTTCAGGATCACTGAAAATGAAATCATATGCCATATTCATAATAAAAATGGTTAATTTGGGGGCATGCTTGCATTTTCAAAATTATGTGAAAGGAAATAAGATAATATTAAGTATATTTCAAGTTAATTTTTTCCTTTGAGCACTGAAACTTAGCAGGGTAAGGAAATAAATTCTACCCTATGTGATAATTATCAGAACTTCAAAATGCTGAAGTATTCTTTTGAACAGCCAGGTGTCATGTGTATATGTTTTAAGTTTGGGTCACAGGCCAAATTCATCTCATCAGGATGTTTCACATCAGCGTGAAACTGAGCAGATATAAAAAGGGTAACTTTCTAGAGCTGACGGCAGGCAAGTACTGGGAAAAAGTTTCCTGGCATTTAAGTGTGCCGTGGGGATCCAGCAGGTGAGGTCATTTGGCAGACTACTGGTAGCAGGGGTGAATGTCTGCACTGCCCAGACTCCTGCTTTTCACCGTGGGAACCTTATGTTAAACATATTAACTATATAACTTGTCAGTTTACCAAGAGGGCCCTAAGATAGGGAACGTGGATGAGATTCGCAGTTTTTAGGTATTGGCCAAGACCTCATAATACCAAAAAACTCAAGTAGTGGAAACACTCTTCTTACTTGAGACTATAAGTTATTTTTACTAAAAGTAGTTACACAGGGCACTGATTATCAAGGACACACTTGGAATCATGAAAGGACTTTAAAAAACAGTGTCTGCCTTCATTTTCTTGGCATCGTTTTAAGAGGGATACCATCAAACTGGGAGGTAGGCTAGTGGTTCCGAATTCTAGGAATCTGCAATTATGTGTCCTGAGAATAATGAGCACTTGAATAATCAGGTAAAACACACTTATGGAGGATTCAAGCTAGCAAAACAAGTCAAAAAGATGCCTATGTTTTCTAGACATTTATTTCATTGCCTCTCTCCTTTGTAACAAAATTAATATTGTTTAATTTACTTAAAGAGGATTTCATATATTCTCTTTCATATTTGATACCCTTGCAAATACCATGCTTTTGTTTGAATCCAAGCTTCTGGAGAAGTGACCAGAGTATTTTATGCAAGCATCATGTTTTCTTACTGTTGTTTAAATTAATTTTTGTTTTGTTGTGAATAAAAACCATTAAATGAAAAGCAGTCAAGAACATTGTGGGAAGGGTGTCCAAATGAAAGTCATTGTTTAAAAAGTTGTAAGATCTACCGTCAGTGACAAACCAGGGATATCTGCAAAACAGAGGTTTACAAATTTGTCTGTATCCTTTGATTTGAAAATAACTTCTTAATGTAACAACTAGACAAAGAAAGTAACTAGTCCTCATTTTAAGACATCACACTGATTTATTCACTGCTTCAATGATCATTTGATTCTAGGTAAGTCCAATATTTTTAAAAAAGAAAAGAAGATGTGAGTTCTTTGCCATTAGGAAACAATCACTTTTTTTTTTCATGTTATGTTAACCACCACACATTACATCATTAGTTTTTGATGTAGTGTTCCATGATTCATTGTTTGCATATAACACCCAGTGCTCCACGCAGTACGTGCCCTCCTTAATACCCATCACCAGGCTGACCCATCCCCCCACCCCCCTCCCCTCTAAAACTCTGTTTCTCAGAGTCCATAGTTTCTCATGGTTCGTCTCACCCTCCGATTCCCCCCCTTCATTTTTTCCTTCCTGATA